CTCTGTAAATAAAGCAAAGCCACTTCCTCGTCCGACATTAAACAGAGCCCGACAGAGGAGGGAGGGGCGGGGCCGTGCAGCGCTTCAACAACTGACCTGCGTCTGACCTCAAAGTGCACAAGCTTCAAACTTCAGCGTTGGCTGCGATTTTGAAGCTGAAATCGCGTTCGGTGTGAACGCAGCATTAGTCTGTTGTAGATTATTCAATCTGCACTTGTTCTTTTTTTTATTCCTCACTGACGCCTCTCAGCACTCGCCTGATCTTATGTTAATTTTCTCTCCTTAATGTCCTTCGCTCCTCGTGCTGCGAAGCCTAATCTGCTTCAATCTGAGACTCAATCAGTTAAAGATGTCAGCCTCAGCACACGGCAGCAACATGTATGTTGTATGATGTTAGCRTGTTTTCACACATCCAGCCAGTGAGTTTATTCTACAAGATCTTTGTTTGGCTTCTGTTCATTCTTGGACAGATATCAGAATGGATCTGTTTTCAGCTGCAGATTAGATCTGCTGCTCTTCAAAAGCCCATCAGCTAAAGAAAACCCACATCATTAAAGCTGGAGGCTGCAGGAGCGTCACGCTAAAATCCTGGAAACACTTCCTCTGCAGCTGGCCTTTAATGTGCTGCAGKAGATCTTCAGATTTATGTRTAATTTTGAAACGCAGGTCYGCACTCAGYGCCAACAAAGYGCTCAGCTTCTCTGCAGACACATGYAGCAGGACAGACGTCAGTCACTTCGGCTGTTTCTGCAGGTAAACAAACAAACAAAAAGGGCATCTGGTTATAAATGTTCCTTATGTTTTATTTAAAGACACGGCTCCCACTGAGAAAAATATTTMGTTTCTTATCCAGTCAATATTTTAGTTTAATACTTTACATCGAGTCCCTTTAATCTCAGTAGTTTCAGTAAAAACACACAGAGGCGTTCAGTGTTTATATAATCTGACACGTGTGCGTCGACAGGATTAACACAACAAAGCTGGTTCTCCTGCTCGTCTGCAGGTTTTACACGTTTGTTTTAATTGACTCGATCACCTCGTCAGCTGTGATTTAATTACTTGTTAATGTGAAGCAGGTGTGCATCTTCAACAGGTCTGCAGCGAGGTCTCACTGCAGAGTGAGACGAATACAAAGTGTTTCTCAGCTCAGAGGGCAGTAAAAGCTGGAGAAGTTTCCCGTCTGTACCTCTGAAGCCACTGGTAAAATCTATCTTTAAACCTCCAGTGTGTATATAAATTATTTAAAGAGACATTTATGACCTGCTTCTCTTTTTTGCAGCTCCGCTCTCGGCTCCTGTTTAATAAACTCTTTCCTTTTATGGCTCCGACGACGAGCCGCGGTGATTACTAACAGGAAGTTCAGAGGTTTTCAAACTTCACTGCAGGAACTGTTGCTGATTTTAAAAAACTCTTAAAGAAATAAAATCCTAGTTAATCTGTTTTTGTACGATTCATTTACTGGTTCTCAAGCTGTGACATAAGTACCATTTCCCTTTAAAGAGAGCCATTATGTTATTACAAATTAAATGAAAAGCTGAATAACTGCCATGAGCAGATTTGTGATAAAGATTATAAAATAGAGAAATAAAGAGTAGAGCTGGAAGCACATTGTTATGGTGCCAAATGGAAACACAAAGACTGTAAAACTACAGYAGGCTGTTCAGGTTTTATAAATTCTTTAATGTCACACAGATAAAACCATATTATTTAAGCCACAAAGTGTTTGGAATGGTCTTCCTCCAGTGCGAGGCTGTGGGAGCTCCCATCCACCCTGAAGGGTAATGTTGAAAAGTGACATGAAACCAGAGCGTCTTCACAGAGAGGAGGAAGAAAGAACTCAACCTCAAACTGAAAATGATGGAGGACAGCAGAGCTGCTGCATGGAAGAACTTCAGCTTAGCCTGTTAGCGCCCGAGCTAAAACATATATATGATGTTATAGTGTTAGCTACTGTATATGACTTAATGCCTGTGGGGAGCCAGTGTAAAAACTTCAACAGGAAAAATCCACATTTAGTGCATTTTTCTAACATTTAATAGAAAATGCCAAAAAAATAAATTCATCCATCCCAATA